TAAGGCAGACACAACATCTTTGTTTGTATGTGGTGCTGAGGATCGAACCTGGGCCGCACGCATGCCAGGCGAGTGTGCTACCGCTTGAGCCACATCCCCAGCCCTAAGCAGATTTTCTAAGAGAACAATATGTGTTTCTGTAGACACACTAAATCAAAATATGGTCTTTCCATATTCTTCTTAAATCATGCCTTTTACTTCTTTCCCTTGACATTTAATTTTGAACCTTACTCCTCCTCATTTTACTGGATCAGAGATTTTCTTACATTTCCTTGCATATGCTTTAAACCTCCAAAGAAATGGCCTCAGTATTTGACTTATTTTACAAAATAACAACACTTATTTGGCAAAACATGTGTTAAACAGTAAATTCTGTTCTTAAAATTTAGAACTAGCCCTGGTTCTTTAAAAAAAAATAAAAATTTTGCGATTTCAGTTGAATGCCCCCTTAAAAAGTCAGGAACCATTGGGTACAATAGAAAGCAAATGCAGTCTTTTAAAGTGCTACTGCAGGTGGCTCTTGTTGGATCTCTCTCTTCTGTATTTCTAATCCTACCAACCAAAAGAGCTGACCATTCTTGATAAAAATAAAAATTTGTCTCTTTCTAAACACAGTGCTAGTGGACTTGGTCAAGGCCTGATACGGGTGACCTACAACAAGTACGGTGAGTGTTCACTGAATTCTGGACACTTTAGACTTCATCAACTTTGTTTTTAAAAGCTGACTTTGAAAGAATTAAATTAATCATGTTTTGCTGTGTCCAAAGCACAATAAGATACCACTTCATAGCTACCAGGATGGCTATCATAAAATTTTTTAAAACAAACCTAACAGAAAAGAGGTATTGGTGAGGGTATGGAGAAACTAGAACACTTGTACATTGCTAGTGGGAATGCACAATGGTTCGGCTGCTGTGGAGAACAGTCTGGAGGCCCCTCAAAAAGCTGAACGTATGATTCTGCAATTCTATTCCTATATATGTAAGCAAAAAGCATTGAAAACATGCAAGTGAATGTTTGCAGCTCTGCTAATCACAATTGCCAAAAGGTGGAAAAAGCCCAAAGGGGCACCAATGGATGAGTAGATGGACAAACATGTGGTCTACAAACACAATGCAATGTTAGTAAAAAAAAAAAAGAATAAATCGGGACATGTTACAACACAGATGAACCTTCAAAATGTTAAGCAAAAGAAGCCAGACAGAATAGTT